AAAAAAAAAAAAAAAAACACACATGTATCACTGTCAATGATGTCCCTAGGAGTTTGCTTTCTCTGTGTGGGTTTAAGAGGAAAGATTTCTGCACAGGGAGGCAGGAGATCTGTATTCAAGACCTTTCCATTTATTGCTGATTGAGGGTATAAGATCTGGGACAAGCCTTTTGAGGGTTTCTGATCTCATGTGAGAAATGGAAATTATAATTCTGGACTGGTAAGAGCAGGGAACACATTCCTCTAACTGAGGATGTTAAAGTGCCCATAGCAGTGTACCTGTGTCACCCTGGAGAGATGACAAAGGGCCCTTCATGTATTATTATTGTTTCAACTTCTATTAATTTTTCAGATTAGAGTCTGTTTGGGATCTTGGGTCCTAAGGGGATGATTGGAACTGGACCATACAATCAGAAGTGGTGGATAAATAGAACCTGTGATGGGCACAGGGAGGAGTACATAAGAAGAACCACACAGACCCTCTCACAGATTCTAGGCCCAGAGTTGTTCACTAGCCTTCATACAGGAGGAAATGGCTATGAATGGTAGTTCTGTGGGATTTTTCCCAGTCTTTTTGTTCTTTGCCCTGTTTGGAGGATTGGAGTCCCTTTCTACCATCCCTCCCTTCTCCTCCCCCTTGTTTATTTCCACATAACCTCTTGAAGCATCTGATAATTCTGTGGGAAACTGCCCTCCCCTTTGTAGCCTACCCCTTCCCACAGTCAGAACAAGGGTGAGGGGGCTGGATTCAGAGATGTGCAGATATTTACTCCAGTTTTAATGTTCTTTTCATAGAAAATCTCTGAAATGTCAGTGTTGCCTTTCTGTTGATAACAAGGTGGTGCAGTGGGGTGGGGAGAAAAATAAAGCATTTTTGAGAAAGGTTGAAATTCTAAGCTCACGTCTAGTTGCTGAATTGTTACAGATAAATTGGTAAAAATTATTATTTCCAGCTATTAGTTTTGTGGCTTTTCAGCCACTGGTACATGGGTTACATTTATAAGCAGTGATCTTTAAACAAAGAATATAATTTTTATAAATCAACTGATTTTGTCATCTTTATGCATCTTGCTGCCACTGATCAGGATTGTTAGTGGCTTAACTTATTTTCCACATGTGGAGAAGGTTTTGAAACTTTTTATGAATTTCAAAGCAATGCATTGTTTACCTTCAATGTTGTTTTCATCTAATTGTGCCTGCTGTCCTTACTTGTCAGTATAAGCAWGAATTTTTAAATTTGTGGTTCTATGTGAGTTCTCCAAAAGTCAATTGGTTGAAAATGTTTCTAGTCGCTAATTCCTATATTGATGAATTTTGTGCACTATAGAGTGATTTTATAACTTTGTAAGTATGTTTAAAACATTTTTGCCTTATTATTTGCTTTTGTGATATATTTTCAGTCATAGTTTGCATTTTTTGAGGCACATTCTACATATGTGCCCTCTTTATGTGTATCTTTGCTGAAGCCTGCTTCATAAAGGCAAATGAAATTTCCAGAAGTGTAGTAGAATGGACATGGACATGGGAGTTATTACTCTCTGAATTTGAATCAGTGTCCACCATTCACTAATTGGGTGTTCTTGGAAAAGTCATCTGGCCCTGGTTTCATCTGTACATTGGGGACTACTAATACCTGCTACACACATTATAAGAACTACATGAGAGAGACCTCGTGTACCATGCTCTGCCCAGTCCTGCATGAAATAATGCTCATTCATTGATAGCTCTTGTGAAAAAGGGGCCTCTGTTTTGTTGTTGTTRTTGTTGTTTTGTTGTTGTCTTGCTGTTTTTGGATAATCTAGAAAAAGCTTTAAGGTTTTCAATATGATTGTAGCCTTGGAATATGAAGTTAAAGAGATGTGAAATATTTAGTTGGATTATTTCTTATGAATTTAGTATTCACATAATCAGGCATTATTGTGTATCTTAAGATATATCACAAAAATGGCTCATTATATTTTTGCTTATCACGTAATTTGGAGAGATTAAATTAACAAAATTAGTGGTAGGAATAGTTATCATTTGAAAAAAATTTTTTTAGTTGTCAATGGACCTTTATTTATTTATTTATTTATATACAGTGCTGAGAATCAAGCCCAGTGCCTCACACCTGCTAGGCAAGTGCCCTACCACTGAGCCACAACCCCAGCMCAGGAATAGTTATCTTTGACCGGCTCTTTGCAGACACCTGCTTTCAGATAAACTGCTTTTTCATTTACCTACATCTTGTCCTTGTGTTCTATCTGCCCACCTCAACTGAACTTTCAGTACCATGTGTCTGTCATCTTCATCTTTCTTCCCTGGTACCCTGTATATTTGTTACTTTGAACTGACCTGAATCCTAGGCAAGAGCCCATAAAACAAGAAGGGAAGCAGCATAGAGACAGGAAGAGAGAATTCAGTATGGGGCCTCTCTGCCCAAGAAGATCAATCTCAGCATCTATCCATTACTGAATCCATTTGCTTTTACTGTAAAATACCTAAATACTGCTGTGTAGATGATACATACAGGTGGAACTTTAACTCTGATTGGAAGATTGAGATGAGTATGAAAAGTCCAAACATAGAAACACCAGTAAATATAATGATAAAATATCCCCGTGCCAGTAGATGAAATCCATACGTGTCCCATCTATATATTTATAACCTATCACATAGATTAGTAGAAGGGTCAGACAAATTTGATGTTGAATTCTATTTTGCTTTCCCTAGACGCTTTCTTACTTCTTTCGAGTTCAGGAGGCGAACTGGCCAGGATTTAAGAAAGGAAAACTGGGTGAAGGAGTTTGTGGATTTTGTTAGCGTGCACCCTTTGGTTGCCTGTTCATGAGCATTTGCATATTTTGTTGGATTTGATGAAATTGCTAARTGAGCGAGGAAGTGGAGACAGGAGGCTTTTAAGATCCAGGTGAAGGTAAAGAGAAAATCTCTGTTCCAACGTGAACACCAGCTTGTCCATTCTGTGTCTGTGTTGAAAATAAGCAAGAAGGCTCCTGTGATCCAGTGCATGTCCTGTGTTCCCAGGGACACCACCATCATCAACCACTCAAGGAATGGCAGCTATGGCGAGAGCTCACTGGAGGCCCACATCTGGCAGGAGGAGGAGGAAGTGGTGCAGGCCAACAGGAGGTGTCAGGACATGGAGTACACGTAAGGGACCTCGTGTGCAATGGAACCCTTGGGCACCACTCTGACAGCTTACACTTCACCCAAGTGGGACCATCAGCTGCTATAGCACCCCCATTGTAGCCCTTTCAGAGAGGATTGCTTCTCTGGCCTGTTCTGAATGCTGTGAGCTTGAGGTCTCCAAAGACGTTCACCTGCCCTGGAGAGAAGGGAAAGGTTCACACCTAAGTAGGTGGCTTCACTTAGCAGGAGGACTGGTGTTGGTGCTTTTGGGGGCGTTGCTGCAAGTCAGTGCAGGCTTTAGGATGGAGGCCGAGTGTAATGAAGGGAGAATTTAGATGCCTGTGYTATTTCTGGGTGTACATCTCTTTTACCTTCCAGACATTATGGGCTGGAAAGGAGAAACCAATTTTATTCCGAAGATCCAGAGGTTTTTGAGCCAGAGTTTACATATTCTAGCCAAAGATAAGGAACTTGGTTAACTCATTCTCTGTGGGGCTGCACAAGATTACCTGCGGGCTTTTTAACATTATAAAACTAGCCTGCCCCACTTGACCACCTGAGGACCTGTGGAGATGTGAAATAGGGTTGCATGRTTGAGCCATCAGTAGTCACTATCAGAGTTGTGAAAAGAACTCAGGTATTTTCTGGTTCCCACTTTGGGCCATCCATGAGGGAAAAGAACCTTTTTCCGTATCTTCATTTTCCCCTTGGAATGTAAAGAAGCTCACCCGTTTGAGCCTTAGTTTCTGGGTTCCTCCGTTGCTTCCCATACTAGACCTGCTAAATGTGGTCCCAAGCACATTGGTCCAGGGAGTCTCTAGCAGGTGGCCATGGTCATTCTCACCACACCTCCCGGAAGTCCCACTCTCTGGAGGTGTCAGAGAAGGTATGCCCTTTTGACCTACTRCAAAAGACCCACCTTATGCAATTTGAAAATTCTGAATATTTGAAGGCTTGTACTGTACTTGACCCTCCACCCTGAGTTTCAGTTGAAGTCTCCAGGACAACCTGAGAAATATGTTTCAGGTTTTTCTAACTAAATAAACTTATTAAGACTATTTTGTTTCACAGTATTAAGAATCTCCATGCCAAAATCATTGAGAAGGATGCCATGATTAAAGTCCTTCAGCAGCGATCCCGTAAGGATGCTGGGAAGACTGACTCCTCCAGCCTTCGGCCAGCCCGCTCTGTCCCGTCCATCGCGGCGGCCTCTGGGGCACACTCCCGCCAGACCTCACTTACCAGCAACCAGCTGGCCGAAGAGAAGAAGGAAGAGAAGACCTGGAAAGGCAGCATAGGTGAKCCCCCCTCCTCCTAGAAAGCAAGATCACACAAGTACTGAGAGGCGGTCTTCCTGTCATTTGTGGGACACAGGAATTTCCCTAWATATTTCCTCATCTCAGTTTACTCATCTGTAAATTGGACAGAAAATCAGTCATACTTTGGTTGTAGAAATTAAATGGGCTATGTGGAAGCCCTGTGTAAATTCTGAAGGCAGCAGAGTAGTTGTTAGCCTTAGTGGACCCATGTCATTATTGTTAAAATTTGAGGTGACACACAAAATGTCCTAATAGAAAAGGCTTAGAGATATCAGGCCTCTGAACTGGGCTCTGCTCCAAGCCTTTGCTTCTGTGTCTAGAAAGAGTTCAGGTCTGCCCTGCTTTGCCCCATGGGGCGTGGGAGGGCCATGTGAGATGACGGGGGATACATGTTGGAGGAAGTGCTCTCAAGTGTGAGGTGGTGGCTCTTGCTGTGTTGTTGTTGTGCAAGCAGAATTTTGAGAATTCTACAAGTGTGGTCCTAGCCAGAAGTGGGTTTCCTGAAGGGAGGGCAACATTCCTTGACTGCATGGGTTAGTGAGGAGAGGAAGTGGGCAGCTTCCTCCTCTCTCTCTCTCTCTCTCTCTCTCTCTCTCTCTCTCTCTCTCTCTNACTGCATGGGTTAGTGAGGAGAGGAAGTGGGCAGCTTCCTTCTCTCTCTCTCTCTCTCTCTCTCTCTCTCTCTCTCTCTCTCTCTCTCTCTCTCTTTCTCTCTCTTTCTCTCTCCCTCCCTCTCTCACGTACACACACACACACACACACACACACATACACCCTCTACTCCCTTCCCCTGCATTCTGGCAACTCCAGGGATCTGGCCCTTCTTTGATGCATGTACCTGGGTCAGTGTGTATTTTTGTTTCTCTGCTGAGCCCAGAGCCAACTTTCACCAGTACAGGACCCCAGAGGAGCCTGGCTGCTTTGTTCCAGAGGGGAAAAGAGCTTCCATATGAACCCAACAGAGTTGGGGGGATCAAAGGCTCCTAGCTAGAATCACTGTTTGAAGTCCCTCCACTGGTGGCCGTAGCAGCSCCTGCCCTCAAAGGAAATTCACTTCAAAGAGGACACGTGTGGACAGCAGCTGGGATCATCAAACACCATCCCAAGGACACTTAGCTATCCTAGCCCAGTTAGAGAGCAGAGGCGATGCTCAGGCAGCCCTGGTTAAGGAGTTTGAAGTTTGCTCAGCTCTGGTGGAAATGTCTCTGGGAGAAGCCCATGTTTTGACCTACAGCCAGGCAAACACTCTAGTGTCTTTTCCCCAGGATTTAGCAGTTCTAAATCAGGTCTGGGAGCCACAGACCTTGACCTGAAGGAAGAGTGGCTGTATTGTCTGCACCATATTCCTCTCTGTTATTGTAATTGGTGTCCATGTCTCACAAAAACAGGGAGGGACCCCTAGGGTCCAGGCAGAGGCATTCATTCAGTCCCCCACGTTTTTGTCTGCCTCGGAGGCAGAGATGACAGTGTTCACCTTCCTTACTGCTCAGAGGCTCATAGGAGAGAAGCTGCCTAGTGATTTACTCAACCCATTCACCCTGAGAACATCCTGTCAGACTCCAGAGTTTCACCAGGCAGGTTCAGGAGGAAAGAGTGTAGGCTGAGCTCCAGATCAGGCATGGCTAGGTTTGACTCCCTTCCTGCTGCTTTAGAGCTGAGAGAAGTTAATTTCTCTGAGCTTCCATTTCCTTCTCTGTTGACAGAGGAGAAGACCTACCTCACAGGAAAGTTGTGGAATAYAAAGTAAGATAATGTGTTAAGCCCTAGGACAGCAGCTGGGATCATCAAACACCATCCCAAGGACACTTAGCTATCCTAGACCAGTTAGAGAGCAGAGGGGATGCCCAGGCCGCCCTGGTTAAGGAGTTTGAAAGGCCAGTTTCCCCTACTACTCAAAGTGTGGTCCGTGGACCGACAGCACCAGCGTCGCCTGGGAGCTTGTAAGAAAGGCAGAGAAGCTCAGGCCCAGTTCCTGCATCATTTCTTCATCATAGTCATACAGCCAAGTAACTGACAGGCACGTTGCATTTTGAGAAGCATACCGTGGTCACACTGAAATTCCCTGGGTTATGAAAGGGCACCTTGAACAGCTCTGGCAAGGATACCTTCTGAATTGCTGGGTCCTTACTAAGGTAAATGAACAAATACTTGATTGTGCTCACCAMTTCTCCTATGGGCCAGAGTTCTGAGTGCTGGTGCTTTTCTGAAATGTGTGCTCTATTTAAAAATAGAAAAGTGACCTTCCTATCCAGCTTTGTAGGAAGACTGAGGAAAATGGATGCCTCTGCTCTCCCTACCTCCCTCCTCCATGCCAGCATGCCCTCTCTCCCACCSCAGCCTCACCACTTTCTGGGGAGGTCAAGAACAAGGCTCAGTGGCCCTTTCCAGGAGCCACTGGCTGGCTSCTTCTTCTTGGGGGCCATAGCTCTGTGGGGGAGTAACCTGTACAACTTGGTGGTTGTCCCAGCAGGGGAAGACATTTGTTTTCGAATCTGGCAGTAGGAGCRCATTAATCTATCGTGACACAYGAMTAAACCAGTCAGGGTCACTCCAAGTAAATTTTGGYYGACTAAAGAAGACACAGACACAGAAAARTACCTTTTCTTTGGGTTCAGTGACCGCTCCTCAGCCACAGCTCCCACAAAGGGGGCAAGGCAGGCAAGAAAGAGAACGAGCATACCTAGAACCTGAGTTTTATTGGGGATAAGCCATTCAAAYGAGGCAAGGGGTCAGGTTTCWGGGAGTTGAGTCTAGCTTCGTGATGTCTTGCTGTCKGCAGATTGACTGACRTCTTGGAAGGTCACACCCATCTCATGTGCTGGGTGATAATCAAAGGCAGAGCAAGTGAAAGGGACACATACTGCACAGCCCWGACAGAGCTGCATCGTCAGTCYGGTCTGYTTTGTGCACTCGAAATGCTCACAGCTCACACACACAGCCCATGGCTGGCTCGCCACACTCATCCATTATCATGAGTGGGTGGGAATGGAGGACTATTCAGAAGAGTAAAGGGCCAGTGGGGACATATCTAGGACCAGGGAAGCCTTTTAATTTTCCTTAGGTGGAGCAAGTGTCCCCCAGAATCTCCCTGGGGACATGTTGGGTAAAGTAAGTGTGGTCTCTAGAAAGCCTTGCAGGAGTCTCCTCACTCTTTCCTGTTACATGTTGTTTGTTCATGGACACCATCCTATGAATAATTTCATCCTGTGACTTTTATTATAACCTGATAATTCCTCCTCCACTGCAGAAAAAAAAAAAAAACTTTTTAGAGAGGGGACTGAATCGCTCACATTTTTATTTATTCTCTCAGTGTTTGTCACAAAAAGTGTGTATTAAGTGCTTGGTGAATGAGTCAGTCAATGACCGAAGCAATCCTCAGTCAAGAAGGAAACAATTTCCAGGTTTAGTTTTTAAAAGAAAAGAGAAGAATATCATTGAAAAAACCTCTTTTTCTGCCCTCAGGGTTGCTGCTGGGGAAAGAGCACCATGAGCATGCTTCTGCCCCTCTGCTGCCAACTCCACCGGCCTCTGTACTGTCCCCTGCGGCATCTGTAACGTCAGCCAGCAGTGCCCACGTGAAGACAGGCAGCAAGGACAGCAGCACCCAGACTGACAAGAGCACTGAACTCTTGTGGCCCAACATGGCCTCGCTCCCCAACCGCGGCAGGCTGAGCACCACCCCCTCCAACAGCCCCGTCCTGAAACACCCAGCCGCCAAAGGGACTACAGAGAAAACAGGTATGTCCTCTATGTTCGAGACCCCACTGAGCTCTGTGGGCCCAGGAAGGAGGTTTTTATTGAGCTGGAGAGGGAGCAGCAGCACTTATAGGCTCTGCTTACTCTTTGTCATCATGGTGATAAAATGTGTGAAGACACTCCTAAGTCATCACCATGTAAAATGAGCACATAGCTCCAGTCCACCCTCTAATGTTTACTTTCCCCAGAAGGAGTGAAAACAGCACCTCTGAGGGATATTAGGGTATGAGTGCCCTCCATTACATTTGGTCCCCAGGTTCATAGATGGTGCCTTCRAGGCATTAACTTGCCAAGGATCCAGGCCTCCGTGGAAGACATGCTCATCGAAGGGGAAGTCGAGTGAAGTCAGAGTTGCTTTAATTGCACCACAGCACTGGGGCCAGTTCTAATGAGTTGTTTTAAATACTTAAGAGAAGACAGCTAGGGAGGGTGAGTCCAAAGTGTCCAGGGGAAGAGTAGACTTGACCTTGGACAATCATAGTTCTGGGAATAGTTCTTTTCAGGAATTCTTTGGAGGAGGTGGGAATTCCTTGGGGGCATGTGTTACCTGTTTTCTCCAAGGGGGTGTGGTCTTTGTTTCCACCCTCCAAAACGGACAGGTAAATTCAGTGTTGTCATTTTTTTGTAGATGTAATTCTTGGGATATGCTTTTCCAAGTAAGAATTGGAATTTGTAAGAAGTGCTTGGCCTGTCGTGAGTGCTTGGCGGTTTTGAGTGGAGGGAGAGTGGGTGTGCGGGCTCTGCACAAAGGCCCAGTGTCATCTTTTCCATTTAATCCTCTTCCATCAACGTCCTCRTTTTCATTTGTATCTGAATCCTGGTTCAGTCACTCATCGTTTTTCCACTGTGAGATGGATTACGTAGGCCTTTCCTGCATACTCTGTGGTSAGTGAGACTCCCAGGAGAGCCCCAGCATTTGAAATGGGTTTGTTGTAGAGAGAGCTCACARAGCCTCTGCTCCTCCTGAGGAATGCTGACGTTATTCCCTCTCTACTTGGCAGAGAACTCTCCTGGCCACGGGAAGTCACCGGAGCACAGAGGCCGCGTGAGCAGCTTGYTGCACAAGCCCGAGTTCCCTGATGGAGAGATGATGGAAGTTCTCATCTAACTCTGTCATCCCTGCTGAATGTCATTATGGAACACTGACAAATAAGGAGCGTGGCAGAGGAAAAGAAAGATCGGGAAGGTTGCAGATGGGAAGCCAGGAATGATATGAACTGATAAGATTTCAGATTAATAAGAACACTTTTTATAGTTGTTAAAAACAAGAGACCTACGTGACTACAGAGAGAAGAGAGAGCTATGTATTTTTAGTGCATATAGCAGAAGGGAGAAGATGCATGTAGGTTTGGAAACAAAGTTAAGAAGAAATAGGAAATGGAATTTTTTATTGTATAGAAATTGTACCTCCTGGGAAGGCTCTGTGTATACCCCGTTCTCTGGTTATAAATAGATAAACCTAAACATGGGCCTTCCTTGGAATATCCCCATTCTCCTTGCCTCTTAGCATGTTTGGCTTAAGAAGAACCTTCTAGAAATCTCTAGAGCCCATCTTGATATAATGTAGCCCGCCTTACCATTGTGGGGTGTCCCCTGAGTGTGTGGAGGATTGGCAGCAAGAAGAAATGTCCAGGATCATGGAGAATTTCAAAGGTGGGCTTCACCTAATTACCTCTTGGGTTTGAATTTTCAGGAGATTTATGGGCTTCTTAGGTTTTCTGGATTCAGCAGTGTTTTCTAAACAGGATGGGAGCATTATGATCTTGGTCTTTATTTTCCTTCACTTCTCTTGAGTTTCTCTGCTTTACTTGCTTTCATTTTACTTTTTCATTGTTCCATCGTTTGTTTGTTTTTTTTTTTTTTAAAGATGTGGCAGCCTTCCTTAGGTGTGGGACTTAGGACAGCAGCATCTGACTGTCTTCCTTCTTGCTATGTGTAATAATGGCCAGTAGGATAAGCCACCTGCTGGCTTCCTCCACCTTTGCACAGTGGGCTGCAGCTGTAAATCTCATGCTGACTGTCCACTTTGACGGGACAGAGGGTTCCGTAGGTCACTGTGAGATCTYGCATCAAGATCACGGCAACTGGCTTTTTTTGTCTCACGTCATCTTTCTTGCAAGGAACCTGACATATCCCATTTTTCTGCTAGGGTAAGACTTTCAGGATAGCTCTGCAGGAAATGGATGACAGTTTACAAACAGTCGTCTCAGTGGCATGGGGAATCTTTGCCAGGCACCCCTGTTCCACTTCCTTATATCTGGGGCTCACAAGCATGTTCATCACTCTCCCCTGCCCTGCACACTCCTCTGCCTGCTGTTGCGGAGCCTACAGACTTCTCTGCCTCCGCTTCTGCCATGAACTTGCTTTGTAATCTGTCAGGCCAGTATGTATACARTGTGGTCAGGTTTTTCAAGATTTCAATTGTGTGATAGTGTATCCAGAGTGAGACAGAAATGCCATGGGACAAGAGCCAGGAGTGAGTGAGGAAGTGGGCCTCTTGCACCCCTGCTGTGATGTTCACGAAGAAGCTGCCCTTCCAAATCCAGGAGATGCTGGCTTAGACAAGAGGGGAAGCTCATCCARTGTCAGCTGCTCTTGCAGGGTCCTGAATCTTTCTCCCAGGTCAGCTGGATCCATGCTTTCCCAGGCCCCTTTCCTCATGCTTACTTTGGAGAAGGGGATGGAGGAGTGGGAGGGAACAAGCCCTAGGTTTAAGACTTTGGTACCTCCTAAATGAGCACTGAAGACAATACTACTCAGGAAACTTAGCTTGGGTAGCTTATTTTAGGACTGATGATCACAGTGTAACCTGGGCAGAGTTAGAGCATCCCCACATTGAGGTAATAGAAAGAAGACAAGAGGTGTGAGCCAGAAAGGGGAGGGAGGAAACACATGGCTTGGCCAGAAGGCCTCTGATCTGTCTAACATGACAGAGTGATTGGGAACTAATGCTCCGAGCCCTGCTGTGGGGTTTGTGCTACCTGCTTCTCCTRTAGTCTCACATGGAGCATGAGAGCATCTACTGTACAGAATGGGAAAGTGAGGCAGCTCTGAGACGTGAGTTGGCTCCATGCCCTGGTATATGGGAGAGTCYTCCTCAGTGGGGAAAGGGTTAAGTATGGCTAGGGTGGGGATGGGGCAGGGGGATCCCACCAGTCTCTGTTCCCTGTCAGTTTTTCACAGGAATGAGCCTGAATGAATTGCAACTAACTCTCTTAATGACATTTGTACCCCTTAATGTTGGATATAGACCAGAAAGCAAAGTGTCCAATGATGGAAAGTCACCTCTGCCAGCTCCACTGCCATGACTGAGCCACCCAGACTTAGGCTGTCTCCCAGGCAATGGGTAAAACTGAGAGCCACAGCCCAGTTTCCCCCCAAAGCCTGATCTGCATGTTCCGGACACCAGATTGGCATTCTTGGGCATGAGGCTTGCCCTCGTGGGGCCCCCTGAATCGTCAGAGATCTTTCAGAATACAGATGGAAACACTGTTTTTCAGRGCTTCAATTACAGTTGTGTGAGGCTTATGCCAGTCTTCTTTTCTCTAACCTATTATGACCCCTCCTTGAGAAAGGGGATCTCTGGCCTTCATGTGTTTTCTTCTGTGGGAGATCTCCTGACAGCCAGGGACTTTTCAGCATCGTTGTTTGCTTGAAACCTAGCTTGCCTGTAGGACAAAGGGACTACAGGTGCTGTACGACGTCTTACATCATCTGATTTTGAGAAGAATGCTAGCTATATTTTTTAATACTGACCATATGTGAGCACTGAAGTGAAAACTCCCTGGGTTGCAAGGGTAAGTTTACTGTCCTCGTTGCAGGAATGCAAAAAGTGGCTCAGGAGGTTGAAGTCTCTCTCAAAGCCTCACAGCCAGGACAAGCTAGGATTTAAAGCCAAGGCTTAAAGAGGAGCCTAAATCACAGTTTGCCTGGCCTTAAACATGACCTGCAGCACTACATCTGGATTCTCTGTGACTTTGTAATGTGCTTGCAAACACACACACACACACACACACACACACACACATCTCTCTGCCCACCTCTCAGGGCCTGAGAAATAGGACTAAACCTAAAACACCTAGAATTGCCCATAAACACCAGGCATAGCTGGAAATCTTTGTGTTCTATTATGAGCACAGCTACAAAATATATCTGAAAAATACTTGCAGGCTGGGGCTGAGGCTCAGTGGTAGAGTGCTTACCTAGCAAGAGAAGCCCTAAGTTTGATTCCTGTAGATAAATAAGTTGGTTACATTAAAAAAAAAAAAAAAAGTTCACATTGTCTGGAGTTCTAGACTTTTTTAGAAGTTCCCAGGGACATCTGATCATAGAATTTGAAGCTCCTGTCTTCAGGTGAAGGGTAAAATAGACTTTGGCTTTGCATGAAAGTATCCCAGAGTAATTTGGCTTCATCCTTGAATGGGTTGTCAGGTCATTTCTGTGTGATGCCAGGGTATGAGATGGAATATTAGAAGTTGTTGGGTTTACTAGACATTCACTAACTAGCTAGTTCTGTACACAAGAACTATTACTGCTGTGGGTTCACATAGCTAAGCTGCCAGGAAAAACATTGTTTTGCAGAAATCTCAGMTCATGTACAGAACACTTGCTCAGCATTTTCTTTTCTTGGCATTCCTTTTGCTTCCCACAGCTTGGTGGCCAGTGACAGTGTGGAGTTCACTTGTTCTCTCCGTGCCTGCTGGGTAGGGCTGCCTAGTTCTACCCAGGCTTTGGTTGGGAGGGCAGAGATGACAGAGTCCCTCTGGCTACAGTCCCATGAGGGCTGCCCTTAGTACCCTTGTGAGTCTACAGGGCTGGGAATGAATATCCAAACAGTTGCTCCAAATAAGTTCTGAACTTGGAACAGAGAACTTTATGAATCTGTTGCTCAGGAAAGAGGCTTTCAGAATGTCCCTGCAGCCAGTCATTACTCCTATCCATTCTCACCTGGGTTGGCCTCTTTCCCTGGGTCCTTGTGAGGCAGTGGCTAAAGCGCCTTTTTGCCAGTTCAGGGGGAGTGAGAAGTTGTCCTCCCTGACAGCCTTCAGAATCCCAGAGGTGTATGCAAACATAACTGGGGCTGGGGTCCTAGGAGACAGTAAAGAAGAGATGGGGTTTAAAATATTTCAAGACAGACAGCTCACATGGGGACTGCAAGGACCTATACTGAGCAAACAGAGATGCTTCCCAAAACCAAAGTCGTGCTCCATGTCTGCACTGGAGCAASTGAGGAGCATGTTTTTCCGTGTTTCCTGAATGACATTGTTCACTTTGTAGGTAAAGGAGTCTTGTGGCCATTTCAAGTGGGATCTTATGAGAATTTTTCATGGTGAAAGCTTTAAGAAGCCAGAGAGTATCTACCAATAGCTTCTCCATATCCCCAAACCTGAGGCAACCGTGCTATATCCTTTATAAATGTTGACTTTCTTTTCTTTTTCTTTTTTTTTTCCTGCTAATTAATCCATGTGTTTGAAATGTTTTCATTTGATGTGAGAATTGTTTAGTGCATTTGCCTCTGGTGTATGGATCCACAGAGATGGAAAGGATAATTAAGAAGTTTCCAGAAACTGGTCAGCTGGGAGCATGCAAAGGTCAGCATTTCAGTAAAAGAATTTCTTCTGGAACTAATGAGCAATTTTTTTCTCTTCCTTTTTAAGAAGTGTACCCTTTTCTTATTTAGTAATTTAATGATATATTAARATGTGTACATGTAAGTGCTTACATATGAGGTATGACTCTAGGGTTGTGAGTAGAATTTCTTAATATTCAGAAAATCCAAGTGTTTCATCTCACCCCACCTTCCTTTAAAATGTGTCCCTTTGGGAGACTATGTACTGATGACTGCAATGCCGTCTAAGTAATGAAAACACTTTGGGAACTCCTCTGTTAGAATGACCTTCAGGACATGATATGTTCCTTTGATTCCCCTTAGAGGTGAGGAATCTCCATCCTTTGAAGATGGATTTAAGTTTTGGAAATAATCCCAAGTTGTTGACAGCACAGGTGAAAGAATAAAGTTGGCAGTTAAAGTAAGTCAGACCATTCTTGTTTTGAAAAATGATCTTGAAGAGTCTTGGAATGAGTCTTTGGATTCAGAGCCTCTCAAAGTGCACATTTAAGGAAGGACAGTACTCAGCAGAATGTGCAGCTTCTAGAGAATTCTGTTTTAGAAGGCTGTTCTCTTGCCATGCCTCGTATGTGTTCACATCTCTGCATACACGACAGATGTAAGTGCATATTCGTTAGTATGAATATCTGGTAGGTATTCTTTAAAACTGAGTTAGACTTAAGAGCATGTTATTGTCATGTATGCTGTGACTGAGGTGTTTCTTTGTCATGAAACTTTGCTTCTTCACAGAGTTAAACACTGTCCTCTATATAAGGCAGTACATATACAGCATATTCTTGTATCAGCTGCTGAAGTTTTGACGCCCAGTGTTGTGTTGACATGTGATTTTTGCCTAGGATTCTGTTCTCAGATAGACACCTGTGAGTATTTATTACAAAGCAGAATGTAAGCAGATTTATCCACAGTGGTTCTATTTAAATCAAGGTGGTTTTCCTTATAGGGAGGGACACTGGAGCCTCTTACTCAAYGAGGCACTTAACAGAATCTGTAAAATTCTGTGACACCAGGGTGAGCCAGGTGCGTTCCACCAGAATGATGGCGCCCTCAGGCCACTGCACCCCCTGCCTGAGCGTGTGAGTCACTGTACCTGGTTGTCAATGTGATGTTCCTCCCATAGAATCTGGCATCGAGTGTGACCTTTTGTCACCTTCATTTTTGCTGGTCTGCATTGAGGGGTGGTGTACAGCCAGATGGATCTGTGTACAGAGTGGGGGGAGACTGAGAACATGGYGTGTCCCCCACAGCAAATGTGGATGCTGTCGGTCAGCCAAAGATTTTCCTATTCTTTGCTGCTTAAACTTGTGCCTTAATATTGTATATAATAAATGGATAAAATGGCAAAGTRGCTCTTCTGTCCCTCTCACTGGCTCTTTTCTTCCCCAAAGAACGTACATACTGAGTGCTCAATAAATGCTTCATTTCACTGAGCTGCATGGAGGCAGCACCACTGATTGTTCCGCTCCAGAGGCCTTCAGCGCCCCCTGTGGGCCTCAGCTCACCCTGACAGGGAGCTCATGGTTCTGAGGAGGAAATAAGTCATGGTGGCGCTGGCCACCTACCCTCCGGCTTCCTCCAAATAAATCAAGAGAAAGGGAGTTCAGAGGACAGGGATGGGAGGCATGTCCTCTTTGATCACATGCTAGCATTCTTGTCGGGGTTCCAGGACCCAGAGTCTGCCTGTTACTTCTGGAAACAGCTCTGCTTCAAGGATTTGCCCAAGCAGCCTGGATCCTGGGGACTGGACGGGAGTCGGAGGTGCCCCTGTGCCCCAGGATGGACATGGGGCATGGAAACTGCATTGTTAGTGCTTCGGGGTCATGGGGCACGGTGGTGATGGGGGCTTTGGTAGAAAGAAGTCATGTGGTAAATTGGTGGAATTTAGTCCAAGAACCTCAGTGACTAAAGCAGAACAGAATAAACCTCGGGAGAGTCCTCCGGTGAAGGCTGCAGGGTAGAGATGTGACCCTGGGATCTCTGTTTTAAGGAGGGCAGTGCCCTCTGTCCTCTGTCCCTGACTTTTTCCGCTGCAAGTCTCTGCTCACCCTTCCCTAGCTGTAGCACCAAAAAACTTCCTAAATGTGAGCTGGGGTGGGTGTGAAGAATGCATCTGTAGTCCCCCAAGAAACACTGGTGATTTACATGCATTGTCCCCATCAGCCCTCACAGTGGTCAAGTCATGATCCTGTTTTATGAGGATTTAAACTGACACTGGAAGACTCGAAAATTGGCAGAGTGGGGATTTGAAGCAGCTGTACCTGCGCAGAGTCTGTGGACTTGCCTGGGAAACGGGCCGGGGGGGGGGGGGGGGGAAGTGGGGTGGGGGGCCTGGGAGGTGGGGAGCTCCAGCTCCCGGCAGCTTGGCTTCTTGTCTGGCCTGCCTTCTATCCAGAGTAATTCCATTTCTGCATGCCTGCCTCTGTGCCTCCCTCAGCAAGAAAGAATCCTTGCCCCTACCTGTCCAGGACTGCCCCTGGAAGACTGCTGGAGGAGCATCAGAGCTACCTCCTCCACCAACACCCATCTCCCTGCCCTCACCCAGTCCCTAGAGCTCCTGTGACATGCTCCCTAAGCTCAGGCATTTCTCTTGGCCCCTTGGACACTGCAGGAGAGAAATCCTCAGTCCCAGAAGTTCTGTGTCGTCATTCCAAGCAGGACATGTCATTGTACCCCAAAGGAATGCTGGCCTCTGCTGAGAGCCTGGCTGGGGCCTCAAAGAGCTGCAGGGAAAGGCAATGCATTTTAAATGCCTGGGCTCATCGTAATCTGGAGTTAGGACACAAATGAGAAATAAACCAGGAGCTGTGGAATTTCTTCTTAGAAAAATGTTTGGTGTTGGCAATATAAAAGAAAACTTTCTGTCACTCAATGTTTTTTATGTTCTATTGCTTTAGACACGCTTTTGTCAAACATGACATTGCCCAATATGTTCCCTTTATCTGCCCCTGTTCCTGACAGGTGAGCCAGAGCTGCTTCCTCTCCTAATGGGGTTGTTGACCTCCAGRCCCTTCCCTTTATAGAATACTGGGAGATGCATTTACAAATATGATTTTTAAAACGGAATCTGGAGCCTATGGGAGCCCGGAAGGAGACCCTATCAAAGGGCATATCAAAAGGTGGCTGTGCCCCATTTTTGGAGACTTAAAATGTATTCACAGAGAACATAAGGCTCAAGGACAATGACAAGCACATGAATTGTGGAAGCTAATAAATAACACAGGACCACCTCCAGATTTGTTTTTGCCCTCTGCATGTTTGAGGGAGGTGGGACCTAACATTTACTGAGTTGGCTTTGGAATATTATTTCATGTTAAAAAGCCCTGTAGGGCTAGGGATATAGCTCAGTTGGTAGAGTGCTTGTCTTGCATGCACAAGGCCCTGGGTTCAATCCACAGCACCACAAAAAAAAAAAAAAAAAAGAAAAGAAAAGAAAAAAAAAAGCCCTGCAGTCAGTCTCACGGTATGTTTTCACCCCTGCATTTCAGATGAAGAAACAGGCTCATGAATGACAAGGGCTCTAGGGCAGAACCTAGCCTGCTCCTTCCTACTGTCCCTGTCTTCTCCCTGTGCACTGCCTGTGACCTCTGAGGCCAGTTATTTCTTAATAGTGATTGGTAGGCAAATGTCTAATTGAAAAATCATTATTGAGGCTCTTTTTGGAAATGTGACATTGCCAGCAGAAGCCTGTACTGAAGGGACAGGCCACATCAATGGCTCTGGTCTATTTGTGAGGCAGAAATGTAATTTATGCTTTCTGGACTTTGTTAATGAACACAGGATGCTCCTGCTAAGCAACATGGGGATAAAGGATCCACAAGCAGAAGCTGCCTCAGGCTTGCCCAGGGACTGGGCTCCTGCTCTTCTATTTCCTCAGGCAAATGGTGGTCCAGAGGTGCTAGGTGCAAAATAGAAGTGTTTATCAATCCTTGACTGCTCCTGATGGATGTCTAGATGTGGGTGACCCAGTCCCCTGGGACTTGGCACTTTGCCCACTTCGTTCAYCGCTTTGCTTCTCTTCTATCCACTACCTGGCCTCCTTATCTTAGACTCCTCCCTCCCTCTCCCCCATGGCTAGTCAGTCCCCTGTTCCTGCCCACTGTGCCTTCCCATGAAGCTTCCACATCTCTCCAGTCTCAGAGGCTTAGTTCAAGACCTCATCTYCTGCTCAGGCAGGTGCAACAGGATCCTGCCTACCATCTCATCCCACTCTTTCTGTGGTGACCCAGACACTACAGAAATGAGTAATAACTGGTACTTACTGTCATGAAGCACCTCACACCCCTGTGAACCTTTCCTATATTARGACACTGAATTCTCACAGTCACTCTCAGAGGCCAGCGGAATTATTATAGCCCATTTTACTGACAGAAATTAAGAGGCAGAAAAGTTAAAGGTCTCAATCAAAGTTCTAAAGCTTGTGAGGGGAAGAGCTGGGATCCATGCACACTAACACAGGTACCCTAGRCCACACTGTTTTTCTTGTGGAGTTTCTGAAAGCAAGACTTGYAACACCACTCCCCCTAGGGACACAACAGCAAAATCATTAGCCTCCCAGGACCTTCAGGATAAAGCTGTGGCATTTGTGCCCTACACTCAGCCCATTCCCCCAGTCTGGTTTCTATCCAGCCCTTGAGACTAGAACTTTGCCCTCAAAGTTCTGGATCCTCAAAGTTTGTCACTCTGGGCACCACTGTGCCCAGAATTTATGTGCATTTCCATTTTGGCCCCGGCYTGCAGGATCACCTGGTCTGGAATGCCCTTGTGTCTGTCCACCCAAATCTTAACTCATTCTTCAAGGTGAGACTCAACTGTCTTTTTCCCCAGGAAGGCATTCAAGTCACTAAGATCAAAATTAATTACTTCTCTTCCATTATTATTAACTGAGTCGCCTTCAGAGAGTTGCTGGACTTCTCATTTGTAAGATGACACAGAGCAAGTATCATGTCAATTTTTTTTTTCTTCACTAATGTGACTCAGGCTCCTGATGCAGTTCCTTTCACACCAGGGTGCTGGAGTGTTTGCTGACTAAATGAGTCGATCCTATGGGGTTTCATGAGAGAAAAGTTATAATGTGCATAGCACATAATACACCCTCACAAATGTCAGTGCTGTGCAGTGTGGCAGCTATTTCAGSCTGGCCCCAGTTTGCCTCTTGAGACAGTGAACTATATACACAATGTCTTGTCAGCTCATCTGTCTGGGGTAGGAACCCTTACTTGTCCCCAGAGAAGATGCTCATTAACAGTTGAGATGACTGTGAATTATTCCAGGCTTCTTACTGCATATGTTCAGTGACTGTTGTCAGGGGAAACTGGAAGAGGAGATCAGAGATCCTACAGTAAAATTTTACTTAAAAATTATTATKCGAGTAATGCACATTTGTCATAAAAACAAATGATACAGGAGTGTATAAAATAGG